GTGTATATCCCCAGACATTTTGGTGGAGGCCAAGGCGGGCGGATCCTTGAGGTCTAGGAGTTCAGCCAGCCTGTCCAACGATGGTGAAAGCCGCATCTCTGCTAGAAAAATGGCCACAAAGTTAGGGCTGGTAATGCTCAGTAGGCTGTAATCCCCAGCCTACTCAAGAGCCCTGAGCAGGGAGAATCCACGTTAGCCCAGGGGAGCACAGGAGGTTGGAGTTTGAACCCAAGATCGTTGCCACTGCACTCCAGGCTTGGGCGGACAGGGTGAGATTCTTGTCTCAAAAAAAAATAAAAAATTTCAGGAAGTTCATGTCTTGTCCTTTCCTAGGTTTAGCGGGCATTTTGGGCGAGTTACAGGCACAAGTTGGGAAAAAAAATGCAATTTAAATATGGAACGCTATATTTTGGGATTTGGTTGAGAAGTGGTTCTTTTGGATTCCACCCCAGCTTGGTATATCATCTAATGTTTATAGTAGAGGGTTCAGGTGCGGAGGCTCACGCCTGTTAATCCCAGGCACTCCCTTTGGGGATCGGCCTGAGGCTATCTCTTAAACTGTATGTTTATAGTAGGAGGTCGGCGGTGGTGGCTCGACGCCGTGTGAATCCAGCACTTTGGGGAAGGCTATGAGGCGGGCAGATCACAAGGTCAGGAAACGAGGAATATCCCTGGCCAACATGGCGAAACCGCGTCTCTACTAAAAATACAAGAATTTAGCCGGGGCGGTGGTAACTCATGCCTCAAGGCTGAAACAGGGAGAATCGCTTGAAACCCAGGAGTGGGGTTGTGGTGAGCTGGAGATTCGTGCATTGCAACTCCAGGCCTGGGCAACAAGAGGGAAACTCCGCCCGTCAAAAAAAAAATGCTCATCATCACTGGTCTTAGAGAAAGAAGCAATCAAATTAAAATGCAAGCATACCATCTCATTGCCTGGGTCAGGAATGGTGATCATTAAAAAGTTAGGATTATTTTTTAATGAGAAATAGACTTTACTATTTTAGCAGTGTTTTTTTTGTTTGTTTGTTTTTATTTTGGTTTTTTGAGACAGGAGTCTCGCGAATACAGGCATGAGCCAGTGTGCCTGGCCAACTTTCTGAATTTGACAGCCGTCTACTTTTGGGGGGCCGTGAAGTTCTTGGTGTGAGAAGCAGAACTGGGAAGACTGAAGGGGTCTTATATTTTTCCTCCTCTCCCAGCTATGCTTAAATACATTTAATATTGTGGTCCCTGAGAACTTAGCATGTGGGTTTTTAGGAAACAAGTCTGGGTCTGGGAAATCAGTATCTTAAAATCACCTAATAGCATTTTGACCTTCTTCCTTCTTGCATCAGAAACACAGTTGTGAATAGATTGCAGGTCTCATGACAGCCTCTACTTTGCTTCTTATTTTGCAAATGTTGCACGTAAGGCTGTT